TATGGGTTTTTTTGTCGACTTGAATGTACAGTTGTATTATACATACATGGGTATATATATTTGTGCAAACAAATAGATTTTTCTCTGTCTATTAGAATAGGAGAGTTTGCTTCCCCAAAAAAAAAAATCAGAGAGAGAGAAAGAATCCGAGAGTCATAGAAAACAACACAATCATTAACAGTCTCAATTTTACTCGTTATTTTCTCTTAGATAAAACATACGGGTTTTTCAATAAGTTAAGTTAAGCATAGGTTTCAATTGGGCTATGTGAGACAAGTGTATATTCATATACTACTCACAAATTAACTAGATTTCTTTGTGAAATTTAGCTAAACAACACATTGTTCAATATTGGTCTAATTTTAATCAACATTCCCGCAAATTGAACTCACAGTATTTTGTTTAAGATGGCCAGTCAGTAAACAAAAATGAACGATAAAGATTATATTGAACAAACTAGATCAATATTAATATAGCAAAAGTGAGCATACACAACATTAATTACAGATTTAGGTACTTTATCATCCTAGCCAAATGTATCTAGCTCATGCTTGTCTGGTTAAACACAGCAAAATAGACAATCATCTTTCAAGTACACAGAGAGGAAGAATAAACCGAATTAGGAGAATGAAAGTAACGAAAGGAAATGAATTCCAAAGACTGATGGTGTCCTCTTCTAGCTCCTCTTCTCCTAATTTCAGCTCCAATTCCTCTCCAGTACTGGTCCTTGCATTTTCTCTCTCCTTTTTTTTCTTTTTGCTCTCTGCTGCTTCTTTCTCACATTGTGCCTTGTATTCTATTTTCTCCTCTCCTCTATTTTGCCTTCTGTGGCGCTTGCTTTTGTTGAGAATTCAAGTGCATTTCTCTTTAAGGCAACCAATGACACTGAGGTGGCTCCTACTCAGAGGTTGGGTCCAACTGACTAAGCACCAAATCCATCTTTTGCGCTCTTTGTCCTAATTCTCGCGCAGAGTTATGCGCTGACGTCATCTACTAACTGCATGTTGTCATATTTTTGCTGTAGCAAATGCTGCATCATTTATCCTTACAAAACCTGCAAATCAGAAATGACACCTCTTGGACACACGTTAGTAGTTTTCTTCAAGGACATCACAGAAACAACACACAAATAAATCTCAGCAGAGTGCACCACATGAGCCAAAAGTTGAGCAAATAAAGCAGAAAATTAACAACTAAACCTTTGGATGAGCCAACTATAAGCCTAGAAATGCCTAAAATAGCTCTAATTCTTAGAGTTATCACACCCCCAAACTTAAAGTATTGCTCGTCCTCGAGCAATGACACTAAGAGAATTCCCTTTTCAGTCAACCATGTGGGTTCAAGGTGTGTGGTCAAGTTTTTCAGAGGCTCTTTTTTTTTCTTTTGCACACTTAAACTTTACACCAACTCTCTTTGAATTAGACAATCGACCCATTTCCCCTTTCAATTCAAATGCTCTTCCCTAGTATGTGTGTGTGTAAGCGCATCAATAATGCTTCCTCCCCGATCACCCACTTTAAACTAGACCACGATCATCAAGCCTAGAAGTGTCTCCATATGTTGACCTATTGACTCCTTCTCCACTAATGAAGAATCACCTAGCATTTGGAATCAGACTTAAGACTCAACTTCTTCTCGGCTTGACACCTAATTCCCCATTCTTCTAATTTTTATTCTTATTCTTCTCTTTTGTTTAACTTCTTTGTAATGCCACAATTGCCTTTTCACGTGAATGCCAACATTTGTGATGAAGACACCCGGTTACTCAATAAAGTCGCAATTCAAAGTGCTTTGCATACTTTTATCTCAGTTTATCGTTTGACGCAAAAGTGAACATAGGGCTCATGCTCACTCCTGGTTACTAAGCACCAAGACAGCAGAGTAAATTCTTTTTTTTTAAACAAACTAAAAATAATGGTGTCATTAATTAGATCTTTATCTCAGTTGTCCTCCTCATACTAAGCTTCCTAGAATTTCACCTCAAAGGAGTCTCTGGGTCAATTCTAGAAACCTAAGCTCTCACAGCAATCTAGCCATCAATAAACTCTTGGGAAGTAACACTACGAATGTTGTGGAAAGAGTTGCATAGATAATTGCATTCAAAAGTCAGGTTCTATGGGTTTTCACTTACATCTAATTCAAGTTAATCTATCACAAAAGCATGCCTTAACTCAGCCTACCTCATCATTGACCTCATCATTGAAGACCCACACACCCTTCACACCACAAAAGTTGACAAAAAGAGGCTCTCCCTAAACACAAAGCAGCACAAAACACACCAAAAATAACAAACCATAAAAGAGAAGATAACCATTCTAAATAAAATAACCCGGCCTCAACAAATACACCCCCCCCCCCCCCCCCCCCACACAAAACAAAACAACCCACATCAGTC